CAAAAATTTTTTAAACCCATATACTGTATATGAGGTATTTTTTGGAACTCTGCACTTCGCAGGATTTAACTTTTCTAGGTTCTTGTGAAGACTCTTTGTTCATAGTCATTTCTATACGTTATAGTTGTATGAAGTTATTTTTAAGCATTTATCAAACGTCGTACATATTTGGAAATATCTGAAATCATTTATGGATATTTTAAGGATAAAAACTTTTTTAATTTTCACATAACTCAAACATGAAAGTATTTCTAAGAATTCTAGATATCAAACATATTAACGGGCATTCAAATAAACTTGATATATTCAAGCACATTTTTGGTACATTTAAACAAGTATTATGGGAAATTTGATAATTATGCATATTATTAATTCAACTTTTCTTCCATCTGACCCCACATAAAAGCAATTAGGCGTCCAGTGTAATGAATGGACATGGAGGAAGAAATGCAATCCTCCATTTTCTTTTGTAGATAGATTATAAAAATATCCTCTTCACTTAAATATTGTAGTCAAAGATAATCTTGTTTAGAAAAATACTTCTTTGGTTAGCAATCTCATAATTATGTCCAAGGATTAGTTATACTATTTGTCTATAAGATGATTGTCTGATTAACATAAAGGATATTATATAATAAAATAAGTATACTTCTCTAGTTAAAATTAAAATTAAAATCAAAATCATACTTTTTGTAGATTACCATTTTCTCTCTCTCCGAAATATGAACTCCCACAGAAGGCCCACAGTTCTCCTTCATTTTTCCTTCCATCCAAAGCATTCCCCAAGTCCCAACCTCAAAAGTAATTACCGTGGTCAAAGAAGAAAACCTGGTAATGGCAAAAGAGGAGGAACTGCACGATGTTTTTTCCTTTCTTTTTGTAGACAATGTGGGACTTGTGCATTTTCCAATACAAGCTTTTCAGCTTTGCCAGATTGATTTTGAGTATATGTTCTGTATAAATTGATCTATTCCTTGCATAATCAAATTAGCCTTTCTTCTCTCCGAAGCTAACATGTAACTCTTTTTTCGAGAGGGTCGATATAAAAATAGATGTCTAAGCACTTGAGCACCAAGCAAAGAGAGCAACAATGGCATATGCCGATTGGGTTATACAAGTTGACAGAAAACTGGAGAATCTGGAAGAAGCCTCAGCAGAAACTGAGCGGTGGAGTAAGCGATCCATTTATAAGGTATCATCAAGCATCAGTGAACTGAACAAGAAAGCGTATAGGCCTCGAGTAGTGTCATTTGGACCTTACCATCATGGCAAAGATCATTTGAAGCCAATGGAGGATCACAAAGATCGGGCACTCCTGCACTTTCTCAAGAGATCTGGAAAACCTATTGGAGCTTTTATTGATGCTCTGGCTCAAGTGATTCAAGATTTAAAGGACGCCTATGACCCGCTGGATCAAGAATGGCAAGAGGATACCAATGGATTCCTGCAGCTGATGATTCTTGATGGATGCTTCATGATGGAAATCTTACGCACTGCTACTCATGCATTGGATGATTACGCTCCCAATGATCCAATCTTCAGCAATCATGGCAAGCTTTATATCTTGCCCTTTATCAAGCGAGATATGCTGATGCTTGAGAATCAGTTGCCACTACAGGTTCTTTACAAGCTAGTTGCTGTTGAAACCAACAATGCTAAGGTCAGTTCTATTACTCTAGTTATAAACTATATATTGCCAATCACAAAATCTAATTAATTGACGCCTACATAAATACATACATTATACTTATGTATGTATACATGCAGGACGAAGAGTTTGTGAACAAGCTTATTCTTAAGTTTTGCTCTCCCAGCACGCCAATCTCACCAATGGGAAAATGCTTGCATGTACTAGATGTCTACAGAAAGAGCCTCATTCTGGAGAAGCCTCATCGAAGATCACGTCGAGGCCGGAGATCCCCCAGTGTACCTCACGAAAGCGAGGACGACATTATCCCATCAGCCACTGAGCTTAATGAAGCTGGAATCCGGTTCAAGAAAAGCACAACTGTGAGCCTAAGGGATATCACATTCCGTGGTGGAGTCCTCAGACTCCCTCTCCTGATTGTGGATGATGCCACAGAGTCCATGTTTCTGAATCTGATTGCATTTGAAAATTTCCATGTTGGGGCGGGGCATGAGGTGACTTCCTATATTTTCTTCATGGATAACATTATAGACAATGAGCGAGATGTAGCCCTACTGTACTCCAGAGGGATTATTCAAAATGCCCTTGGAAGTGATAAAGAGGTTGCTAACCTGTTCAACTCACTGTCAAAAGACATTACGCTGGACCCAGAAAGTAGTCTCAACATCGTGCAAAAGAGAGTCAATACTTACTGCAAGAAGCCCTGCAACCAGTGGCGTGCTAATCTCATCCATACCTACTTCAGAAATCCATGGGCTATACTCTCTCTAATTGCAGCCATCTTCCTTTTTGCCCTCACCATTGCACAGACTATATACACCATATACCCTTACTACAATCCCAAATGAATTTCCAATCCCACTTCCTCCTGCTGGTATCATGTTTTGTTGTAACCTGCTTCACACATTTAACAGCTCCAATATTTTCATAACAAAATTACAATTTCAATGATAAGTTTATCGTTGTTCCTTTCCTCATCAGTCAGTGCAATAGCCCAATTTAGGCAAACAATGCTTGAAGCCTCTCTAATTTGAGATGATAAAATATTAAGCATGTGTTATTATGAATAGATAACTCAATAATACACTTCTCGTGTTATAACTACCTGTACAAGTAACAGCCATAATTTTCCAGATCCAGTTTCTCTGTGCATCTGGTAAATATAGAAGCTCCAACACTAAAAAGAGAGAGGGAGAGCGCAAAGGTATTTTTCCACCGATTACAAAGAAGACCTCAGCTCTCTAATAATAAGATTGACTACAACTAAACAAAGTTTTAAAGGCTGTCGGTAGTCTGTTTGGATAAGGATCTTGTAATGCAATCCCTTCATCTCCTTCCGATTCCAACTAAGCTAAGCTGAAGAGATGATGAAGTACAAATCATCAGAGAATCTCAAAGGCCAAAAGAGAACAACAGAAATTTGTAACACTGCAAAGCTTACAATATTATTCTGGGGCTGCCTCCAATAGAATCCATGCACTATGAGAGGTAAGATATTGCATGCTGCAAATATATAAATCATTAATGCATGCACGCCCATCCACTCCAATGCGAAACTTACGCGCCTATATCCGAACACATCAACCTGTAGAAAAGACCCGGAATTACCTTCTAGAAAATCAATAAACTCAAGCATACGAACATCTTACTTCTAACCTAAATAAATTCCAAATAATATATATTATATATAAATTTCAGGAGGAAATAAAAGCAAATGTTTGGCATAACAAACCAGAACATAAATTGCAGCAAAGAGAATGCCAGCAGCACCAGCAGTGACACACATATAACTGAATGAATAGAGAGCCTTGTTTAGACGCATTCCTACGACAAAGGAGCAAATAGGTCAAATGACACGGACTTAACTGGTAGTCTTTAAACCACCAAAAAACAAGAAAAACGTAAAGAAACAACTTACCAAAAATGTCCAAGCCAAGGCCGAAGACTAAGAGACAGGATGATAGGATCATCCACTGAAAAATTCTGTCCCTGTGATCCTGCAACAGGCACCATGAATCAAGCGTCACCAGAATAGACTGGAACTGGGGACCAAAATTCAAATGAGAAGAAAAAAGAAAATAAACTTTGACACATGGTAATTTTATCACCTTGAAATGGACAATGGTATGCCCATAATGCAAACCAATCAAGCAGGTAACAATGGCCATCACTGAACTACAAACATAACAGGAAATGACTACTTAGAAAAAAAAAATTAAAAAAAAAAACATTTACAGCTTCTCTTTTCAGATAGTTAAATTTGCCTACATAGAAGCACCAAAAAAAATAACAACAGACCAAGTTCTATTAGTTAAAAAGCATAGTTGCAAGGAATAGAATTCTCTTTTTCTTTTATCCCTAATACACTGCACATATTCCCCATTTTTGACAAGGAAAAAGAAAACAAACCTCAGAAGTCCTTCTGGATCAAAGGGTGCTTGACACCATGAAGGGGCGTCCGGAGGTAAAGGGCCAGAATCAGGCGAGTTAATACTGCATTCCTGCAAACAAGATGGAAAATTAATACTGAATACCCAAGAGTTAGTGAGAAAAGATGCTAAGGAATACAAATAAGCAACATAAACTAACTCTAGAAAGAGAGATACCTTGGTTCTTGCATATATTGGCCTTGCATATAAATGGTGAATGCCCAGTACTTTACGATCAATCATTCCTACAGCATTGCAAGCTGGTCCAGTGTCACTGCACACTCCACATTTTACCTTCAGATGAAATGATTAACACCAGGCCATTAGCCACCAAGCACATAATAGACTTACTCTGCAATTTTCAAAAAGTTGAAAGGAACTAAAAGGCCCGGGAGAGTAGGATGGCTCACTGAAAATATCTGTGGTGGTGCTGATGAAGGAGCTTCAACTGGAATCTGGTATTCCCAGTCAGGAACATACAAGCCATACAACAAGGATAGATATGTAGTTGTAAGCACAAAAGCTACAACCCTGGAAAATAGAGAAATAGGGATGGCAATCCATCAGATTAAGTGAATACAACAACAAAGAGAAATGTAAATTACGTTCTAGGACTTGCACAATCATCTAGTGACAGTACAAACATACATAAATAGAGGGAAAATTATAGTTCTACCCCTTGTATTTTGACCCTTCTCAAAAATAAAACCTTGTGATTGTTTTTGACAGTCAACAAACTTGAGGATTCATTATTAGACAACAAGTAATATGTTACTTTAGTAACCAATATGAGTCTCAAATAACTTTGATACTGTTTCTATTGGATATTCTTTTACAATCATCAATACATGAACAAAATTAGCTGTGATTACGGAGTTTTACAATCCTTTACAGACAAAAAACGATATCCATGATTGTTTATTAGAATGAAAAAGAAAAATGACAGACTTTTTTTAAGTTCCTCTGCGAAAAGATGAACCATAGTGCCATGCAAAACTTATGCACTCATTCGAATACGAAGTCATTCATTGTCTAACTATGAAACCTCAAGATAGTAAGCTGTAACAAAACAAAAGACAAGATTTTGTTTTGAAATGGGCCAAACCACAAAGGGGTAAAACTGTAATTTTTCCGTTAATATATTATGAAAAATGCAAAAACCTACAGTTATGGTCCTCCATAAGAAACATGACTGGATCTATAACCAGTGGTGACTGAAGTTTGCCAGGAAGTAAAAGCTACAAAGTTTGGCTTTCACTGCACCAAAACACAAGTAAACTATACATAAGTAATGACTATTCAGTCAACTATTCCATTCATAAGACCCACTAAGGATGCTCACAGCAACATCATACTGCATTTATTCATGAGAAAACCTTAATCCGCATTCCTTAATTGTTCACCATAACATATCCTATCCTAATCTTTTCAATCTCTAATGATTCAAACTATCTATTAGAACAACTACAAAAGAGTAACAGGAGTATAACATATATCCCCATCCTAACCTTTTCGATCTCTAATGATTCAGATTATCTCTTCAAACAAATACAAAAGAATAACAGGTATGTAACATTCATTCATTTATAGTACAAGTGTCAATGAAAATCTCGTAAAACTCACCAATGATATTGATATTTTCTCATCAAAGATAGATCTGAACCAACACGATCATCCCACTTCAGCCAAATCTCACACAAAGCAGCTACTAAATATGCTACTGCAATTCTCTGATGGAAAATAGCATCTGTTAGGCTTCTGTCTCTTAAACTTCTTTATTGATCGGTTAAGCTACATGCAAACAATATAGGGCATAAAATCCTGTAGTGGAAAATCTTCTCATGGATTATTTTTAGCAACGATAAAATTTTATCTACCTTAAATATCCAATTGAGAAAATATTAGCAAAAAAAAAAAGAGAAACCTAGCAAAGAAGGCACACCTGAAGTACACCCAACCATCTCATTTTTTCAATGTCGACTCCATAAGTTAAATTCTTGATACCATGGAAGAAACCTCCTGACAGAAGAAATTATAGGGATTTTTAACAAAATCACAAAGCCAAAATTTTAGCTCCAGTGTACTTTTATAAACCATGAATTTTTAAAAAAAATAATAATAAACCATGAAATATTTTAATTATTTTTCCATTTTAGCCTTCAGCTCTTGTTGAAATACTAAATGCTTAAAGTCAATTAATTATACATGATATGAACTTAAATATTATAGATCGCTACCTTGAAGAAAAAGGCCTAACAGTAGGAGCTTCAATGCCCGAAGTATAGCTTTTCTCGTTGCAGTTGATCTGCATGACACTTTCTGCAAGAATCAGAAAGAAAAGAACAAAAAAAGAGAAGTATCCAACATTAGGATATTATTGGTTCCCATAGCATTAGTGAAGTTCCAGCATTCCTTTGCATGAAAAACATCAGTGAATATGTCAACTAAAGAAACCAAAGTTTAGAGGGAAAAAAATAAAGTTCCCTATTTCCCTAGAATAATTACTTAATATTGGAACCGACTATAAAGGTGAGAGTGGGAAGAATGGATCCCTGAAGGCAATTGAATGTTAAGGGACAGGTACCTTGTATGCAAATGCCAGCGAAACACCAACAATGAAGAGGAAAAATGGCATGACAAAATCTGCAATGGTTAAACCATTCCATGGTGAATGATTGATGGCAGGTAGGATTCCTCCAATATCATCCACAACTATCATTAGCTGCATCAAAAAATTGTGTAAAAATATGGAGATAGAGCATTTTCATTAAAAGTAGATGACTAATATACTGTGGTATCATACAACTAATTAAAAGGAGAAAAACATAAAACTTTCTACTAAAATTATATGAAAGAATTAAGCTGGTTGACCAGTTACTTGAATATTTAATCTAATAGAAAAGAGTTCAATCCAATTATTTATATAGTTCAAACACCTGTCAGGCACAAGCCCACAAGTTGTGGACAAAGAACATTTATGTTATTCTTTTTACTGAATTTAATTTTTAACCTTGAGTAAGCATTTGAAAGAATGTAGTTAGGTAGGAGCAGCTATATATTCCCAGGTGGTCTTTGGCAAATTCAACAAGTACCTATATTTCCACTTTGTCTTTTACAAATTTTATTGGGAAGCTGTCTTTTATATAGTTACAAGTAATAAATTATCTTTTAGAAATATTTAAGTAATAATATAGATATTACTTACCTCAATCTTCTACTTTTGAATTTAAAAACATTCAGACATAAAAGACAAGCTAGAAATATAAGTACTCGTTTACCTCAATCTTTTACTGCTGGATTTAAAACATCCAGACAGAAAGAGTTTTAAAGAGAAAACAATTTGGCTTTGCTCTGCCATGTCCCAGCAGGCATTCCCTGTTGGGGGAGGATCTAAAATCTTAGACAGGTAAGGAACAAAAGAGTCTCTCCATCCTGCCCTGTCCCTGATATATATATCTGTATGTGTATTTATTTACCAACTCCACACATCTAAAATCTTAAACAGGGAAGGGAACGAGAGAGCCTCTCCATCCTGCCCTGTCCGCGTCCCCATATATATGTGTCTGTGTGCGTATTTATTTATCAACGCCACTCATAGTCGTACCTCCATACTTTCAACTTCATTGTCATGGATATATATTTCCATTTGTTAAATAAGGAATCACAAAAACACCAAATAAAAGCATAGTATTTATTTGGAATTAAAATGCTGTGTTTATTCAAATTGCTATCTCGTCTGGTTTGTACTCTCATTCTCATTCAACATAATTAAAATTTGAACCAAATACAACCTTAGTCCCCTCCCTCCCTCACCAAACTCACCAAACGGAGTCTTATTATAGGTTAAACATATATGTGTTTTAAGAAGTAAAAGTATGACTGCCTATTCCTTGAATGATATAGGTATTTTAAGAAGCAAAAGTATAAATTTTCATTATTCCTTGAATGCCATAGCTCATTCATATGTGTGATTATTTGATGATTTGATGATAACATTTTCAACTTTGGAAATTTTGAAGTACATATTGAATTCTAAAAGAAAAAAGGTAAAAAGACAAACTTTCTGGTTTTTTCCAGTAAAGAAACAATATAGCTAATTGGTTTTTTCAAGTTACATCTTAAGCGTTAAAAAAAAACAAAAAAAAAAAGAAACATGTTCGTCAATATTTGTTACCTTGATATCTTTGGCAAAATAAAACAAGCTCCCTCTCAATTTTTAAACAAAAAGGCAAAATAACACAAAGCAGAAGAAAAAACAAAAAAAAACTAAGTTATTCCCATCCCATATTCTCAGCCTAAAAACTTATGGCAATTCATGTGATGTAAAGCATAGTAAATAGCCTAGTGAAACCTTTAAATCATGAAAAAACTCTTCAAAATTTGGTGCAGCGGGAGATTAAATTAAAAAATTTTTGGTTTAATGTAAGTTATCATATTAAAAGGTAGTTGGCTCCCCAAGGGGAAAGTTATGCAACAAGATATTAAAATTTGCCAATTTTCCATGATGTTTAAATTTGGTATATGAATTTTAGGTTTCCAAAATAACTATTTACTTATTTACATTTTAAAATATATATACATTTATATACATGAAATTCTCATCTTCACAAAAGGAAAAGCCAACTCCGCCTGACTGAAAAGTAAATCTAGTGAATATGAATTCTCGTTAATAAATAAATGAGAAATTAGAGATAACAACAATGACATAATAAGAAAAGATATAACAAATAAACAAAGTTCTTCTCTTTTTGGAGGGTCCATTAAGAAATGAAGTTTTCAAAACATAAAAACATATATTATTTAGACCAACAAATTTACTCTGACTTTCCATACACTTGGGAAAAAATAACAGAAGAAGAAGATTTAACAGTGCAATTTTTCCTGAATAGAAAAGCATTGAAGACTGAGACCGGGAGAATATGTAACCAATAAATGGAAGGAAGCAAGAGGGAAAAGAAGTTCACAAAAGTGGGGTCACGCGATTAAAGCGAATATAATTATTAGATCGTCATAATTTTTGGAGGGACGTTCCTTCTTCCCTTTCCTAGCATTTTCCGTTCATCGTAAACGTTATTTTTTTTTCTTAAAAAAAGAGAGACTGAAGAAATAATTAATTCTAATACACATGAAAACTGAAAATGATTTGTTTCTTACTTGTAGCAATGATTGCCACAATAATTAAAGATACAGAAGTATTTGGACCAAGATCGCATCATAGTGTGGAGAAGAGGGAATAACAATAATGATTTCCCCATCAACCAAACAATAAAAGGATGACAGATTTTATAACGTTTGCTTTTTGCGTGCCGTAGTTGAAAAGAATTTCTTTATTTTTCCTCGAAAAAGGAAGCTAATTTCCTTTTCATAAAAATTTTTGTTAAAGAAACAGCAAAATGGGGAATGGAGTTTCTTTATCGATTTTATTATTGTTGCTGGGTTTTGAAGGGAAGATTCGCCATTGATTAGGAAATTTCTTATCGAACGAAATGCAATCTCCAATTACATTAATTTTTAAAAATTCAGAAGGCAAGTCGTTTCCTTACCTACGCAGAGAGAGTATGGACTGACTTCAAATACAGAATATATGCATATATATAACATATAGATAGCAAAAGAGAGATTTTCTGCCGACTTTATAATCAGCACTCCATGCATTTTAGTTTTTTCTTCTTCCAAAGAATGTAATAGTAAACAGATACGAACAGAAAAAGAACTTTTAAAAAACAGATAAAAGAGAAGAATTACCGCGACGGTGAGTCCGCGAAAAACGTCGAGAGAAACAAGCCGTTGCGTTTGTTGCTGCTGTTGTTGTTGTTGTTGTAGAGAAAGAGGAGAATCACGTTTCGCAATCGGAAGGCGAGGCGATTGAGAGATCTGGAGAGCCGATTCGAAATCATCGGCGGCACATTTACGATCCTTGTCATTCATCAGACACTTACTCTCCTCATCACTACCTCTACCCGCGCCCTTCCTCCGCCATTCATCTTCCTCCTTGCAATATCCCTTAATAGACTCGTACATTGGCATCGCTCCTTCTCAGAACCCCAAAATATAGTACGGAAATCCACTGATCGACAAAGATCTTCAAAAACCGAAATCCAACCTTCTCCGCACCGAAACTTTACCAAATTTTCTCCTATCCCCTTGGCTTCAATGCGGTTACAGCCAGGAAAAAATTATGAGAAAACAAGAACAAGATTCTTTCCGTGAGCAATCTAAAAAGGTTAGGACACTTGTGAATGGAGTTTTGAGGAAGAACGAGGCGCCTTTTTTTTATATAACTTGGTTGTGCACAGGAGGCGCGGCTCCCTGTCTGTGGATGGGCTGTTGATGAGGAGGAGGAGGAGGAGGAGGAGGAGGAGGAGGAGGAGAGAAAGTTGATGATGTGATGTGTGCGTATGAGCCTCTTTTCGGCCTTCCCGTATTTATAGAAAAGAAAAGGGAGGCAAAGAAGAAGAAAGAGATTTAGTCTGATATTTTCCTAATTTTCATAGGATACGATTGCTCCTCCTCCCAACAAAATTTCAAAAATTAATAACAATGCCTATTTCTCACCTCACCATCCTATCACTTCTTTTGATTTTTCCACGTGGCAACTTCTGATTCGACCTTGCTGATACTAATTTCACCGCCTCTTTACCTTGAAAGTTTTACTTCCTCGAGTTGCAGTCAAAAAAAAATTATCCTCAACTCGGACTCTTTTTATTTTTTTCTGTTTCGATCCCGTCCTCCCACATGGCAACAGTCCTCGGATTGTACTACTCATAGGCCTTGTACAAAAATTTAATTAATTAAACAGCTAATTTTACACACACACAAAAAATAAATAAATTCAATAGAATTTTTTACTTCCTTTTTTTGTTTTTATCAATTAAATTACGTTAATTATAGTTTAAAATTTAATTCCCATTACTTGGGCTTTTGGGTTTTGGGAAAGATCAAGTAAACTTTTTTATTTGTTACTATAAATAATTCATAATTTTAAATTTAGTATATAGATATAAGTATAAAGATACGTACGAGGATGGTAAGGCAATAAATGAAATTAAAAGTGGGTGGACAGCCACCGACTTGAATAGATAAGAAAGAAAGAAGAAAAAGGTGAAGCAGGAGGATTGGATTCTTTTTTTACTTGTTTTTGTTTAGGATAAATAAAAATAAAAATTGAATGCCCACTCGTTTTTGGAATCTAACAACGAGATAAGCTTTTCTTTATTTTGGTGAATAAGAAGGACATAAGTTGTAAGCTATTCTCCACTAGTACATACAATGAATGGATATGGTAGTGTGTGTGTGTGTGTGTATATATATATATATCTATTTGACTACTTACCCTTGCCTTTTGTTTTATTTTCTTTTTAAATTCTCAAATTTTAGTCATTTTACTTGTAAATATTTTTTTTCAACCAAATAGTTCATTAACTTTTCAATGTTTTTTGCAGCACTAAGTTACATTTGGTTTTTTTTTTTTGTTAAAAAAAGAATTTTTTTTTGGAATTAGGGCAAGTACATAGTCTTCTTCTTTTCTTCCATGTTTAACTTTATTTTCTCTTAAGTTTTCTCATTTACCAGATAGCCATAACTAAATTAGATCAAATTTTAATGATCTAAAGTCTCATGTCTCCTTATTCCCCAATCTTTTCAAAAATTCTACATTTTTTTCTGAGTTATTTGAAATACACCCGTTAACAAATTTATTTAAACAATCCTAATGCAGGAGGAATTGAAAGGATTGTAATACTCTCGAAATATCACACCACATATGATCAGAAGATTTCAACTACCTAATTATCTATTCCTATTTAAAACTATACCCACCAATAAGGAATAAAATAATCAAGATAATTGAGAAATTAAAAAAAAAAAATGTCACGGCTTACCTAATAAGTCAATCCTAATTCACTGACCCAACAAACTTCTCAAAGCTCTCTAACTTGAAGAACACTCACTAACTTGGGAAATTAGCCATGCTAATTTTAATAAGCAAGCAAAAACTTAAAACTTTCTTAATTTTTTGAATTCTTGAATTGTGATTACAGTCTAAGTACTAAAGTCCTTATATAAACCTTTATTTTCTAATACGACTCGCAGTAAGATTACATATTCCTACTTGAAATCTTAGACACTAATTTAACTAGGATTTTTGTTAGAAATTAATTAAATAAAGGAATCATAATATAAAATTTCAAATAAATTAATAAAATAATGATAGTTTAATTTAAGTAAAATTCTTCCTCTTATTTGGTCGATTCTCCCTTTGCTTTTTATGCTGAAAATTGCTTGAAGTTTTTTTAGGAATCTATAATAAAGTTAGAAAGCAAAAAAGAAAAAGCAAAAGGAGTCCAAATCAGACTCAAAATGCATGGACAGGCTGCCCGCGAGCGTCTGGCGTGTGCGCCTATAGGTGGCGGCATTGGGCATACACAGAGGTTCCTACGTGCACGCAATCCTGACATACGTACGATAGGGACCGCTCATACATAAAGCCCAAGCATAAGGTTGGTTGTCGTGCGAGCACATACGCGCTCCTAAGGCATGTGACTGGTCTATTTACACATGTGCCTCCTCCTACGCACATCTGATTTATGTGTGCGTGTGCGTATGTGCACTCTAACTGTGCATGAGTGTGGCTCTCTCGCATGTTCCGTACGCTCTCTTGTGCAGATGATCTTCCCACATGTGCAGGAGCTATAAGTGTACGTCAACACATGTGTACTTTATGGGTAGCCATACCAAAATGGCGCTTTGGGCTTCCTCTTAGGGTGAAATCTTTGGGTTGAGTCTCTCCTTAGCTGTGAGGCCCAATAACTTCATCGTCTTAAGTTGTCTCTTATTTATTTTTCTTTTAGATCGTCATCCTATCGGCTTAAGTCCTTCGAGGGTCTTAATTTACTCTTTTTATGGTCTTGGTTCTGGATAGATTTTCTGTGATCACTTTCCATTTGGGCGTACTTCCAAATGTGTCTTGGAAGCACATAATTGCATATTTGTTTTCGTCCTTCTATTGTCACATAA